GAAATCCGAATCGACATGTCTCTCACATTCCTCTCTGGGGAGCGCATCCGATGGCAGGTCAAGGGTGACGTGTGAGGCTCGATTCTTAAAGATGAGTGATTTTTTAACTTTTAACTAAATTTCTTTACCATTTCTTTTACCATCTAGAATTTTGCGTACAAGCGTGTGGGCCATGGCCAACAAATGACCAAACAGGCCTTGAGAGTGTACAAGGCCGGACAACAATGCTGATTATGGGTTTAAAGAACCGATCCTACATGGAAAGACTTAACTGCCTTAATTCATTCCGTCTGCGTTACACTGACAGATCTAAGCCTTATAATGTTTGTCCAATTTTCTCCAGTATGTTAAGAGGGTTTGGTCGAAATCTGACATAAACCAAAGGCTAACACTAGAAAACACGTTCGCCACTTATCAGTGTTTTTTTCGACGTACTGGCGTGTTTATCGTAAAATAAAATACGCCCTGCTGCTTACTGGCATTGGGTTCATCAGCATTGATGCCTTAAAGTGCACCAAGTTTCGAATGTCAGTGCCAAGTCTGAAATTCACACAGGTACTTACTGTGTGTCCTGGTCTTAAGGCGTATTGGTCGCGCGAACTGCTTTGCACTGGCTAACCGGTTATTTAAGTAGTAAGCCCGAATATGCCCTACTACGTCGGCAGCATCATTCAGCTCCCTTTTTGTTATAGACAACTTCTCGAACAGGCTAACAGTCCGGAAGCAAACTGCGGACATATGCATCGTCGCCGTTGTCGCCTTGCAGGATTACGTGTCGTGGACCTGAGATATGCAGCCTTTACTGTTGAACTTGCTCAAAACACATCATTTTATTGCGTATCGACCACGCAGCGCAGCTCACCATCAAATAAGGAATTTTCACAGTTCTGTAACACGCACATCTGTGCTCTCAGTATGCAGGTGATGTCGACGTAAGTGGAAACCAATATCTTCAGCCAAACGAGGCGTCTTCAAGCAGACGATTCGAGAAACGACTGGATGTGGGTTTTAAAGTTGATTGGCCACAGAGGTTTAATCAGGACCAACCGCTGTTATGAGAATTGTTTTCCCATCAATAAAGCATGACAAGTATCCTAAAAAGCATAATTTGATTGCCCGCAAAAATCGCAATAATTCCGTAAGGCTTTTCAAATTATTGTGACAATACCGAGAGGTGGAATCTGCATCGTCCACAAAGACGTCTGTGCGAGTGATTACGACGGTGACGTTCGACTTGATGGCCACGATGACGCAGGGGATGTTGATGGGACTGTCGAGGGAGAAGAAGAAGAATGAGAAATGCAGCGGCTGATTTACCGTTGACGGCTGACCAAGTGCGTCCCCTACCCACTGTTCTCCATGGCATATTACTAGACATGTAGAAATCAGACCCGACATGTCCCTCACCTTCCTCTTCAGGGAGCGCATCCGCTGGCAGGTCAAGGTTGACGTGCGTTGCTCGATTCTAAAAGATGATTGATTTTTTAACTGTTAACTAGATTTCTTAACCTCTTGCGTAGTTTGTCAGTTAAATTTAGATAAAACCTTCAAGAATTGAACATTCGTCACCTGCAATTACCGTCGTGTATTGTTGTCTTATCAGCAAGCGGATATATACTGCCATAATTTTCCACCCTACATAAACTCAATCCTGTTACATTCTACCGATACATATATAGAAGGATTTTCCTGTAAAAGTTTTAAAAATCAGTATGTATTTTACGATACGTTTTCTCCATTGTCCATGGTTTTTGTCGATTTACCAACCAGCAAGAGTACTCTACTGTCTCCTACTTTATCCTGCCTAGCCTCATCGTTAAATGCGTATTTTACTCACAGTTTTATTTCAGCACCTTTCAAATGGTCATTTGATCCCTATTTTATCAGATCATTCTGGTATTAAGAAGAATTCTGCAAGTGACTGTTCTGTTGTATGGTTTACCAATATTGATGAATTTTCAAAATTATTCCACATACGTAGCCCCAAGCCCAAATCCTCTGAAGAAGATAAAAGTCTACAAAGAAGCAGTTCCGGAGCGTTATTGATGTAATTATTAATAGTTAATTATTCTTGAAAGCCATATTCAAGTTTTCAGCAGCTATTGTCTCTGAAAATCATAACTAAGCTCCCGTTTTACTTTTCCGAACGTGAAACCTCGTGCAATCACTCGTTGCTCCCAGAAGGAAGGCGAATTCTAAGTTTCTCATTTGTAACTCCCACCAGTCTGAAAAAGTGGACATTAAAGCACTTGAAAATGTTAACAGTTATATGTCTATTTATGAGTCACTTTTCCTATTTTTGGTGTCCTTCATGAAAGAGAAATGTCAACACATAATTCTCACCAATGTGAGCAACTCGTACTCCTCATCGTCATTGTTGCTAGTGAGACCGAATACAGACACAAATTCCGTCTTGACTTTAATTTCAAAAAATGTTACTTAAAGTGAACAATCCCATGATATCGCCTTTATTTTTGTCACCTTTGCGGCTTCTACATAAGGGAAGCTAAAGCTAAAAAACTCTCGTCTTGGAACAAAAATCCACCCTTTCTGACCAAACCACCCTCGTCGATAGAAGAAGACTTTATTTTCTCACATTTGGAGCATTTCGCTTAATATATTAATGGAAGTAAGCTTTTTATTAGTCAGAATCAAACTCCAACTGAACACAGTGCTTCACTTCATTAGCCAAAATAATGCCATCCAAAACTCTATTCATCTGAAATTTGTCCCCGAGGTAGGTCCTTCATCTGGTGTCAGCCAACATTTCCGCCTATCTGCGGGCGCCTTAGTTCTACCTAACTCTTCACCCGAGCGCACTGTCTCCGACCCAGGTGAGACCTGCCACTTCGAAACATCATCAAGAAGCCGATACTCCCAAATGTACCAGGCCACTTGTCATCAGCAGTAAAGATGGACCATCCCTTTCATCACAACCGACCTCCATGTCACAGAATAATGGCATAGTGCAGAAACCTGGGTCGAATCCATCTCGTTCTCGTGCCAGGCCACTCAAATCTGACCACGTAGTGCAACCAAATAAGCCAGATAATAGTTCAGGGAGATCATTTCCTGATTGCCATGGCCCGGTACTCAGAAAACACGTTAAGCGTACGCGCACTCGACTGTTATCACCAGTAGCAATGCGGCAGAGGAAGAGAACACGACCGTTCAGTAAAATCTGTATCAGAGATCTGCAGGTCGTTCTACCTGGGGAACTAACTCGCATTTATAACATCCTGCCGGGGGTCGCCTGCATTCCGTCCAATGCACATCGAGAAGAAGATTCCAGGTGAGCTGATCGGTTTCTCGTATGCACGAACCAACCAGGTTCGAGGCCAGCAGCCAATGGCGAGGCGGCAACATCATGCTGACAATGTGCTAGAGAGGGTGCACTTGGACTCCGGTGATTGCTTGGCTCTGGCTTTTTGGAGTGTATGCACATTGAACACCTCCCTTCATCTCAAGTCGTTCAGTACCCTTTTGGCGTGGACTGACCTTCATCGGAAGTATTGATCGGTGCACGCACTTTGTCTGACGTCCTAGATGTCGATGTCGCTGTCGATACCCTGCCAGTAAGCAAAACTGAGACTTTGCGGCATGAAATTGGCGTGAAACGTTGTTCGCAGTTTTTGGCCCACCAAAGCTTCGGCAGGAGAAAGGCCTCCAGACGACGCCGGGTTCGGCCTTGTCCTGTAGGAAAACAGAGACGCCTGGACCATCTCGTCATTGGTCCCCTCCACCTTGCCCCACGGTCCTTCAAGAGGGCCCTCTTATACGTGTCGACAAATGGCTCTAGCTTTCCGTTGGCCTGGGATGGTAGGACGGGCAACAAAGATGTTGACGCTGTGTGGACAGCCGCAGAAACCCTCAAATGTCGATGAAGCAACCTGGGAACCACTATACGAAATAAGGACTGCCAGTAGTCCGTGCAAGCCAAAGATGTGTCGTAGGAAGGCGATAGGGGCAGATGCGATTTCTGGATTCAGCGGAGCAATCTCTGGCCGCTTCGAGTAGACGTCAAGCAAGATTAGGTAGGAGACTCCGTTAAGTGGGCCAGCAAATTCGATATGCACGCTTGACCAAGGTCTCTCCGGCAGTTGCAAGGTCATTATTGGTTGACTAGTCGGCATCTTGGTAGTAAGTTGACTGTAGGCAGCCTGCCAGTACGCAAAACCGTGGGGGTTATTCACTTTATCGGGCTTGTGTCAGGATGTGCCGCGTAAAATTGGCGTAATAGCGAAGGTCGATGGAAAGATGGATTAACCACACGACCCGCAATCATGAAGCAGGTATCAACCTCTGACAGCGATGCTCGGCGCAGGAACAGTTGGTAAATATCTCAAACGATAGCAATGCTTGACCGGCAGGTCTGCACCCAGGTGATGGCCTGGTGGAGGAAGAGATCCTGTTTACCAGTGCGTCGGATGTCCGCGGCAGTGATTTCAGATGAGACGAGAAAGGACGTTCACCTAACCAAAGTCGGCAGTGAAGCAGTATCGAATTTCGAAATGGTAACTAAGAAGAATGGTTGCACATGGCTAAAGTCGGCTGTCTGAATAGCCAGGAATGCCCTTCTTCGTGCCGAGAACTGACAGCAACGGTTTATGATCTGTCAACAGCATGAAGGGAGAACCGTTCAGCAGCTTGTGGAAGTCTTGACGGCAAACACAAGGGTTAGTGCTTCCTCTTCTGTTTGCTTCCAGTTCTTCTCCGAATGAGTTAGTGTGAGAGATGAATGCATGATCACCTTTTCAGGTCCGTCAGGAAACGTATGTGAGATGACGGCACCAACTCCGTGGCTGGAAGCATCTGCAGCAACAACGGCAGGCAGCGTCGTGTGCTAGTGCATGGGCAGCAGATCTGTACTCAGCATCGACTTTAACTGGACGAGGGCATTATCGCAGTCGGGAGACCAGCACCAGGAAGCATCCTTTTGCAGCAGACTGTTGAGGAGGGGGGACTCGAAAGTCACGCAGCGATGCCAGGAAGCCGCGTTATTAGCTGATCAGGCGAAGGTATGAGCTAAGTTGCGATACATTCTTGGGTGCAGGTATCTGTTGTGCAGCAGGAATATTTTCAGCATCTGGATTGCGACCAGTGACGTCAAAAACGAATTCGAGGTACTTGATGGAACCGAGGAAGAATTGGCACTTGTTGGCCGAATACTGCACGCACACTTGGTCTTGCAACTCAGCAGGGGAGCGACTAACGATGACGACGATGTCGTCTAGGTGCCCAGCTGTGCCGGGATGCCGGGGAGCATTGCGTTCATGGTTTGTTGGAATAGAGTTGGGGCAGTCTTGACACCAAAGTGCACTCTGGTGTATTGGAACAGACCGCGGCGGGTGTTGATGGTCAATGCTTCGAAACTGAAGCGATCTCAATCTGCAAATACGCATTCGCTAGATACAACTGGGCAAAGCAAGTGCCACCATTCAGCAGGCTGGAAAGATCAGACGGAACCGGTAGTGGATAGCAGCTCAACGTCAACGCGGCATTAAGATGGATGGAGAAGTTAGCACAAATGCGGATCGAACCATTAGGCTTCTTAACCACAACAATTTTAATGGTCCTGGCGGAATAATATACAGGAAGTAGAATTCCCTCTTTCAACAAATACATCAGTACAGCCTCGAGAGATGGTAAGTCTGTATATGGGACCGGTGGATTTGGATGAAAGACTGGTTTGTTTCCCGGTGACAAATGCAGCACGCCTGCGATGTATGTGCAACGGAGTGGCATATCGGCCAAATCAAGTTGTTCAATCCAATCGAGACAAAGTAGGTTCGGATCAGACTTGGTGACGTAGCAGATCTCAGTGAGGCTGGTACCGCGGGAGGAGATAAAGCATTAGATGGGCGAGACCACCGCACGCGCTTGTGGCGGACTGGGAAGTCTGCTGCGTCGTGTGGTTGCCAAGGCACTCGCAGAGTCTCTCAAAGATGATGATGATGATGGTGGTGGTGGTGGTGGTGCCCACACTGCCCTCGCACCTTCACGCATCGCATGGTTCTATTCGGCAACATGCGCATCCACGAGAGCGGAATTGACCACAATTCCGACACAACAACCACGCCCAACACGCCCATCATGTCCAGCACCACCCTCGCACCGTCCATCTGCGCCACCACCAACGCCTCCTCTGTAGCTGATTCTGACACCGCCGACTTCACATGCCCACACTGTCCACGCACATTCACCTCACGCATCGGTCTGGTCGGTCACTTGCGAATCCATCGTACAGAGACTGGCGAACCAGTGCCTGGAGCACCAACCTATACCCACCAAGATCGTCTCAGCTGTTCACACTGCCCTCGCACTTTCAGGCACCGCATGAGCCTATTCGGCCACATGCGCATCCACGACGGCCTGCATTAGACAACCGCCGGTTACACCACACATCCACTCACTCCCTACCCTCCTCCACCATCACCACTATGCATCAACACTCATCCACCGCTAGCACCAACTGCCACCTTCCACGCAAGTGGGAAGTGTGCATCTCGACTCGGTCCCCACGCGGCTTCGGATGCGCCGGTGATTTGAGTCCGAGACTATACCGACACGTCCAGCGTCGTGGATAGGAAGGTTGCTGATCGACGCCCGCTCTCGGTTCACGCAGTTCGTCGCGTTGTGTGTGTGTGCTGTGTGGAGTGGCGGACTGGTGGGCTGGGGACGGGCTGAAGCAGCACCTTCCACGGCACTCTCACGCAAGTGAGAGACACGCCGTTCAACCCCCGTTGTGTGAAATTCTGGTGTTTGTGTGTGTATGGGGGGCCAGGTCGTGCTGTGGCACGCGCAGGCATGGTCAGTCGACCGTGTCAGCCACCGCGCCCATTTCCCACTCCAGTTTGCCGACCGGCTCTGACGGCGGCTGGTGTGTGGGAATGGGAAGGGGGAGTGAGGTCGACGACTCAGCGCATTCTCCTCACTATAAACAATCTGACGCGCTTGAAACTATCACGGTGCGCTAAAAGCCGTGGCTTGGAAGGTTGCCAACTGACGGGGTAACTTTGAACTCCTTCTTAACCGGAGGCGGTCTGAGAGTCAGGCTGCAATGGCTCCTTTTTAATGTGGCCTTTATGACACTCCCACCACAGTGTGGGATCTGAGCCAGGCGTTGGCGGCACGCCCAGGTGCGGTTTCGGCCGTGCCAGCCTCCAATCTGTGTATTGTTGTTCAAAATCCTGCTTCAAGCACGTCAGATTGTTTATAGTTAGGATAGGTGTGCTGAGTCGTTGACCTCACTCTCCCTTCCCATTCCCACACCGAGGCCACAGTCCGAGCCGGTCAGTAGACTGAAGTGGGAAATGGGCGCGGTGGCTGTCATGCTCGACTGCGCGCGCCACTTGCAAGAACTGGCCTCCCATACACACATACACCAGGCCTCAATCAGCAACCTTCCTATCCACGACGCTTGACGTGTCGGGATAGTCTCGGACTCAAGTCACCCGCGCAGCCGAAGCCGCATGGGGACCAAGTCGAGATGCACACTTACCACTTGCGTGGAAGGTGGCAGTTGAGTGCATGAGGTGTGTGAGGGTTGATGCGTAGTGGTGATGGTGGAGGAGGGAAGGAGGTGTGCGGATGTGTGATGAAACCGGCGGTTGTCTACCGCAGGTCGTCGTGGATGCGCATGTGGCCGAATAGACCCATGAGATGAGTGAAGGTGCGAGGGCAGTGTGGGCAGTGAAGGCGAGTGCGGTGGGTGTAGGTTGGTGCTCCAGGCACTGGTTCCCCAGTCTCAACATGGAGTAAATTCTGAGCATTTCCGTTCGTTCCAGCATATCTGTGTCGGGGATGATGTCCTGCCAGTTCAGCCACAGGATGCGACGGAGACAATTGAGGTGGAAGTGGTTCAGTCGGCGTGCCTGCTTCGTGTTCACCGTCCAGGTCTCCGCTCCATACAGAAGCGTCGGCAGGATGACGGCCTTGTACATCTTTAGCCTCGTGCTCATATGAAGGACATGACGAGTCCAAACTGTGCGTTTGAGGAGACTGAAGGCTTGACTGGCTTCCGAGATCCTGTTGGCGACTTCGTCACCGATCTTGGTGTTGCGGGAGAGGGTGCTGTCCAAGTACGGGAAGTCCACCACCACTTGCAATTGGGTTCAGTTGACGCTGATTTGCGGCGACGCGTTGTGGGCTCTGGCTGATTTGGGTGGCGGTTGATGCATCACCACGGTCTTCTGCGTGTTAATGACCAGACCGAAGTTCTTGCAGACGGCGGAAAACAGGTCCATGCTCCGTGGCATCTCCACTTCCGATGTGGTGTTCAGGGCGTAGTCGTCGGCGATGAGAAGTTCGTGAACGGTGGTTGTGGATACGCGCGATTGGAAGTACATCCGCCGTTGATTCAGCAGATGACTGTCCGTCCTGTAGGCGATGCGGATCCCGGGGTGCTCATCACGATAGGCGTCCATCAGCATGGCAGAGAACATAAGACTGAAGATGGTTGGTGCCAGCACGCATTCCTTCTTCACTCCGTTGGACTCTACGAATGTCTCTGAGACAGCTCCGTTGTCCGTGACTCGCGCCATCATACCGTCGTGCAGCTGAAGCACCATCTCAATGGATCGCTACGGACAGCCGTATTTTTGCATGATTCACGATTCACCGTATCGAAGGCTTTCGTCAGTTCTACGTAGGTAGAGGACAGGTGTGTTCGCATCTCCTGGCACTTCTCCTGAAGTTGACGGGCGGCGAAGCTCATGTCCGTGGTCACGCGACGACATCGGAGGACGCATTGTCTTTTCGGTAGGAGGTCCTGTTCCAGATGATTATTCAGACGATTGAGGAGGATGGGAGCGAAGATCTTCCCCGCAATGTTCAGCAAGGAGATGCCGCGTAATTGTCGCAGACTTGGTGATTCCCTTTTTGATTGTAGAGATGCACGATGGTTGCGTCTTTGAAGTCTTGCGGCGTACATCTGACATGCGTGAGGGTGCCGTGAACACGTTGAGAAGGAGTTGTTTCAGTCTGACTCTCCTAATGGACGGTGGATGTGGAAGATCAAATTTAAATCTTCCTGTGTAAAAACAGTTTGCTCACAGGTCTGTATGGCGATGCGGATCCCGAGGTGCTTATCAGCGAACAGAAGTTCATGGATGGTGACTGTGGATATACGCGACCGGAAGTGCATCTGTCTGTGGTTGAGGAGGTGGCCAGCCGTCCCTTAGGCGAAGCGCATCCCAGGGCGTTCGTCGCGTTAAGCGTCCATCAGCATGGACGGGAACATAAGACTGAAGAGGGTAGGCGCGATGACGCAGTCGTGTTTTGCGTCGCTGGTCACATTGAATTCCTCCGAGACAGCTCCGCTGTCCGTGATGCGTGCCATCATGCCATCATAGAGCTGACGCACCCTCCGACTGAATCGTCCCGGACAGCCAAATCACCGCATGATTTTCAACATTTCGTCACAATTCACCCTGTCGAATGCATTCGTCAGATCCACGAATGTATAGTGCAGGTGGGTTTGCAACTTCCGACGCTTCTCCTGCAGCTGATGTGTGACGAAGATCCCGTCCATGATGCGACCATAACTGCGGAAGCCGCATTGACTATTCGAAAGAAGACCTTGATCCAAGTGATTGTTCAGGCGGTTGAGGAGAATGTGAGCGAATATCTTACCGGCAATTTTCAGCAGGAAGATGCCTCGGTGGTTGTCGCAAAGCTGGCGGCTTCCTATCCGTTTGTATAGGTGGATGGTTGTGGCGTCCTTGAAATCCTGCGGGACTTCTCCTTGACGCCGCATATCCTGGAACAGTGCCGTCAGATTCTCCATGATTTGGGGACAATAATGCTTGTAGACCTCCGCAGAGCTGGCATCCAATGCGGGCGCTTTCCCGCTGGAGAGCTGCAGCACGGCCCTGATATTCTCGTGGAGAGATGGCGGGAGGTCAAGGTTGGCGTTGGTTTTCACTTGGGACGGGCGGGCGATGGCGGTGTCGGAGATGTTGGAGGGGCGATTGAGGACGCCTCTGAATTGTTCGGCCCATCGCTGCAGAATTTGTGTCTTCTCGGTGAGCGTGGTCATTCAGTCGGCGCTGAGGAGAGGTGCAGTACCTTTAGCGGGCGGACAGTAGATGGCGGAGAGGAAGTTCTTCCATTCGTTGTGGTCGCGCGAGCCTTTCGATCTCCATGGCCTTGCGGGCCAACCGTGCGTTCTGCATCTCGCGCAGACGCTGTTGCACAAGGCGGCGGCAACGGTAGAATGCTGCTTTGTTGCCGTCTTCGTCGGTGGGGTGGTCTATGTGGGCTTTTAGCAGGCAGTCCTTCTCGGAGAGTAGTTATAGATGGCGGGATTCGCGACCGAGGACGGCCAGCGCCTGCGACTGGATTTTGTCCTAACAGTTCTCCACGGAGCCGTTCTTGTCAGCGGCGGCGGCGGCGGCGACCGTTATGTTGTATAGTCGCTGAGGTTGGTCGTTTCTTAAATGGAGATGATGAGCGGGCAAAGACAACAAGGCAATTTTAAGCTTGCCCGGGGGTCGTTTACCTTGACTTTTCCTGTTATGTCCCATTGTCTGCGTCTCGCGCCCTCATGCCACCTTGGAGCCGACGCATCATCTGACTTAATCTTTCTCGCTCTTACTCTGTCACTTACGCCACCGTCGTTTATCCTTCCCAGGATAAAATCTTAAGCCTGTATTTCATAAAGGTTGTGCAGTTTTCAAGCAGTGCGATTTTGCTTGGTGTTTGCCTAACTCTGATCGATAACACGCTCTAAAGGAGACTTAGTGTAACGTTCAGCCGCTGAAAGACAACAATTCCACACCAGCATCTGGATCACCTGTGGCTACATTGAGCTTAGGAGATCGAGTAGAGAGTGCCTCATCCTCTTCTTTCACGGGAATCGATGCCCCACCCTGATAACACGCAATGCGGGCGTGCCTGCAATCTGCACACAGGAAACGCTACCCAGCCAGCTCCCCCCTCTGCATAGGATCAGTAGATTTTAGTACAAATCAGTGCACCTAGAGTGGCGTGATCTGCTCGCGTCTGTCTCTTGGTTTTTGAATAATGAGGACAGGTGGCCTAATGCAATGAGTGCAATGTTTGTTAGTCGAAATACAGAGCTGCGGCTTTTCAACCAGATCGCGGGGAATTTACCCGACATGTCAGTGTTGTGCCACACCAGAAGGTATAACCACTGTATAGTCTTAAATTGCCTACACGTCAGAACCGAGAGCCCCTTCAGCTTACAGAATATATTTCCTAAAGTCTCACGCATCCACGTTGATTGAATTTTTAAACCTCGGTGCCACGGTGGGATTCGAACCCACGACAGCAAGGGTTTAACTATGTCAAGTAATCCATAGCTTCTTATTTTGACTCGCAAGGCGCGCCTATTGCAGCTTGGCCGACTATTGTCGATATCTCCGTATTAAACTCAAGAACAAAGACGCGTTATTTTGATGCGGATATGAAATACTCGGCTTCTCGGTGGAGAAGTTTAATACGGCTAACGCTCTAGTCACACTTGTTAAGAGACTCCACCGGACGAAGCTAAATTAATCGTATCTGCCATAATACCTATGAATTACGTGAGACTCGTAGCCATCAGGTGAATTCTAGATAAATAAATTAGAAAATTCTGCTTGGGAAATCAACTTACTTTATCAGATCTGGTGAATACCAGACCTTGAATTAGATCGGACGGGTAAACTTGATTTAGATGTAATTAAACTCGCGTCGTCCGGTGGGGCCTCTTATATCAGGTGGCTAGACCGTTGGATGTACTAAAGACTCTTTTTGCTGTTGTGGGTTCGAATCCCACCAGTTAGGCTTAGGAGCAACCTCGGAGACTGAAACCACTTATTTTTCAGAAGTAAAGCATTCTTAACACCGCCTCATCCTGTCGAACACGTTCTTCTGTCTGCCGGAGCGAGAGAAGGCCACCTGGAGGCATCCTCGATCGCGTCAGTGGCACCTGCTGGACTGTGTTCTCGTCCGAAGGCGTGGCTAGCGGGACGTGCTGGTGACGAAGGCGGTCGCGGGTGCTGATGGGTGAACCGACCATCGCCTCGTCATCTCGAAGATGCGTATTCGCCTACATCCTCGCAGGAGACCACAAGGTAAGCGACCCCCAGTTAAGCTGAATGTTGCCTTGTTGTCATTGCCCGCTCACCATCTTCATTTCAGCAATGAGCTAGTTCAACGGCTAGACAACCTTCGGATCGCTGCCGACGACGCCGCTGCCGAGAACGCCTCCCTGTCTGCGTGCGTGGCCGAAGTCTGTTAGAGCGGTCGACTTGACCGTGTCTCGCTGTTGACACCATCGGTTCTCCACGGAGGCGTTCTCGGCAGTGGCTTCGGGGTCGGCGGTGACGGTGGCGACAGCGACTGGAAGCTTGTCTTGCCTTTAATCTAGCTCATTGCTGGAATGGAGATTGTGAGCGGGCAAAGACAACAAGTCAATATTCGGCTTACCTGGGTGTCATTTTTCTTGATATCTCCTGTCATGTCCTATTGTCTGTTAATCGCGCCTTCATGCCACCATGGAGCCGGCGCATCATCTGAATTAATCTTTCTGGCTCTCATTCTGTTACTTACGCCACCGTCGTTTATAACCCCCAAGATGAAAACAGAAGCGGGTATTTTACAGAACCTAGTGCAGTTTACATCAGTCCGATTTTGTCTGGTGTTTGCCTAACTCTGATCGAAAACACTCTCCACAGCAGACTATGCTTGACGTACAGCATCTGGAAGACGGCGATTCCCAATCACCATCTTGATCACCTGTGGCTACATTTAGCTTAGGCGAAGGGCTTGTGTAATTCAGGGTGGCAGTCGCTGCGAGACTGAAGAGAAGATTGAGTAGAGATTGCGTCATCCTCTTCTTTCACGTAGGTCGATGCCCCCATGTTAGCACGCAACACGAGGGCGCCTGCAATCTGCACATACGAAACACCACCCAGCCAACTTCCTCCCTCGGCATCGGATCAGTAGATTTTAGTGCAAATCCATGCACCTGAAGTGGTGTGATCTGCTCGCGTCTGTCACTTAGTTTGTGAATAATGATGACAGGAGCCCTAATGCAATTAGTGCAACATTCGTAAGAGAATACATATCTGCAGGTTTACAACCAGCAGTGTCAATTTGATGTGAGGAGAATCATTCGATCGCTGGAGGGAAAAAATGTTCACTTGAGCTTCCCGACACCTTTTCGATTAAGGACAGCAACAGATTGAAGTTGAGGACGTACAGAGGGTGAAATTTTTATAAAACTGCAATTCCTATTCTATCATGCGCATGCTTATAATGATAACGACCGCATTCACTTCAGCTTTTCGTTAGTCGTTTGACGGTATTCCGAGTACATATGTTTAAATTTTGACTGTTCACGATTTAGCCGTTTTTTAAATACTTACCTCATCCTTGGTTCTAAAAACTGACTTTGACGATTCTATGACTTTGGAAACGGGAATTTTTGTTAGAAATGCGGTTTTCCTGGCAGGCTGAAGTCGACATAATGTTGAAATTTGCTGATTGCCCCTTTCCAATTAATGCCAGAGAGACGCTCAGACTGTGTCTATATTAAAACAGTGTAGGATGTTAATAAAAACTGTTTGTTTATTTAATGCACATTCCGCTACGACGAATTTTAACGTAGGTAAATCCACTCCTTACGGAGCGCGTCAAATTAATTCTAAAATCCCACTTGGTTTACTGTCCTGGATTATGCATATCTAATTTATGCGAATACATTAACACGGACAGTTGAAAAAATGAAACCATAACGTAGCTTAGAAATTCGCATTGCATGTGATCTTTCAGTGAATTCGCAATTGACTGGACATCTTGCACCTACGTTCGGTGAAACACTCCTGTAGATTGTCGAATCCGCACTAATTTAACTTGGGACTGGCTGTTTCGATGTTAATCACAATCCCACGGCATTTGTTTCACTTTGAATGTAAAAAGTCTGCTGACTATAAAATACAGATATTCACAATGACTGATTAATTATGCCTTCTTTGCCGTAGGGAATCAAGTAAGTATGACGAACACTGCGGTTTCTCTTAGGAGCAACTTCGGAGACCGAACCCACTTCCTTTTCAGAACTGGAGCTTCCTTAACAGTGTTATTTTGCTGTGAGGAAAATCACTCGATCACTAAAACGAAAGTAATGTTCACTTGAAGTTTCAAGTTCATTTTCGAACAAAGACAGCAACAAATTGAAGTTGTGAAGAAACAGAGGGTGAAATATGCATACTCTGAAATTCCTCTGATATCACACGCATATTCTTATTACTAACGTCTGCACTCCTGCAAATATTCGCACTTCGTTTGATGACCTGTCTAGTAGATATGTCCAAATTGTGACTGACGGCGATCTAACCGTGTTTTCAGTAAAAACACAGCCTTTTGTTTTCATTAGCCGTCTCTGGCATTTCTGACATCGGCAACTGACATTTTTGATGGAAATGTGGATATCTAGCAAGGACAATGTCTACGTTTGTCTGAAAGTCAGACAAATGTTGACATTTCCTGAGTTGACGTTCCCAATTAACGCCAAACAAACCCGATCTAGCCCGCGTGTTGGTCCAGCGCATCTAATGGCTGACCGATCTCAGGGACACTGCCATTGTTCAGTGACGTACACACGCAATGATTGCGCACACGCCACTGACTACCTGCTGCCAAGGTCATCTAGGGGCGCTTCTAGTCGCATTCAGCGTTCGGCCATCTGGCGAAACCTGCCAGCTGCGTCATCCATCGAGCGCGATCGATTTTCCCTCGGCAGGCTCGCAGGCCACCTCACGGTCCAGGGGCCACCAACTCGAGGTGCGCCGCCGATAACTGACTGTCCGCCTGGTACGTATCATGAAGCAGGGTATTCTCACGTAGATAGTGCCGATTCAGTTCGATGCATGCTGCGTCATTTGACTGTCCACCTGATACGCAACAAGAGGCCGGGCCTTCCCACGCAGATAGTGCCAATTCAGTTTATCGTATCTCTGTTTGCAAGCAAATCACTAACCAGGGTTATGTTTGAACATGCGTTTCCTTAAGTACCCTCACGGTTTAGGG